ATTTTTGCGAGACTGTTTTTATATTCCTCAATTTAAGAGGAATCTTATTTATGTTGTTTGTTTATTTAAGGATTCTTATTCAGTTTTTTTTAATAATAAAGTTGTGATTCATAAAAATAAGTCTTTTATCTGTGATGGATGGATGCAAAATAATCTATATTTTATCAAACCTAAGATGGACTTACTGCTAAACACTGAAGTTATTAATAACTCTAAAAGGCTTAAAACTTCTCACTCTAATGAGACATATCTTTGGCATTTGCTATTTGGTCACATTAGCCTTAACAGGATATAGAGGTTGGTAAAGGACGAACCTTTAAGTTCTTTAAAGGTTGGGTCCTTACCTCAATGTGAGTCTTATTTGGAGGGCAAAATGACCAAAAGACCATTTGGGTCTAAGGGCAATAGGGTTGAAGAGGTTCTTGAACTTGTGCATAGTGATGTTTGTGGTCTCATGAACATCAAGGCAAGAGGAGGGTATGAGTATTATGTCACTTTTATTGATGATTACTCTAGATATGGTTATGTGTACCTGATGCACCACAAAAGTGAAGCTTTTGAGAAATTCAGGGAGTTTTGGGCTGAAGTGGAAAAGCGATTGGGTAAACCCATAAAGGCACTTCAATCCAATCAAGGTGGAGAATACCTATCTGATGAGTTCACTGGATACTTATTAGAGAATGCGATTCTATCCCATTTGACTGCACCTGGCACTCCACAGCAAAATGGTGTAGCTAAGAGAAGAAATATGATCTTGTTGGACATGGTACGGTCCATGATGAGTTATTTGACATTGCCTATATCTTTGTGAGGATATGCTTTACAAACTACATGTTATCTTTTGAACAACGTGTCAACAAAGTCGGTTCTTAAAACTCCTCATGAGTTGTGGACGGGCAGGAAGACATCCTTGAAACATATTCACATATGGGGATGTCTTGCACATGTGCTGGACAAGGAAGTGAACAAGTTGGAAGCATGTTTAGAAGTGTGTATTTTTGTAGGTTATCCGAGAGGGATGAAATGAGGTTATTTTTATAAGCCTAAGGAAAATAAAGTCGTGGTTTCAACAAATGCAACATTTTTTGAGGAAAGTTACATGAACGACTTTAAGCCTCGTAGCAAAGTGGTGCTTGAGGAAATGTTGAGTGACTTGGTCATACCGATAGTTCCTTTAGAAACCGATCGAATCAGAGTAGAAAAGGAAACCCAACAACAACCTAAGGGGCTTCGGCGTAGTGGGAGGATCAGACATGAACCTGAGAGATTCATGGCTAATGAGGAGACCTTTTTGGCAGAATCTTTAGAACATGACAGAGATCTTTATACTTACAAAGAAGCTATGGAGGATATTGATGCAAATCTCTGGACAGGAGCCATGAAAGCTGAGATGGAATCTATGGATTTTAATTAAGTATGGGAACTTGTAGATCTTCCTGATGGGATTAAGCCCATTAGGTGTAAATGGGTTTACAAGAGAAAGATAAATGCAGAAGGAAAGGTCAAAACCTATAAGGCTAGACTGGTAGCTAAGGGATACACGCAAAAGGAGGGAATCGACTACTAGGAAACCTTTTCGCCTGTAGCCATGCTTAAGTCCATATGCATTCTCTTATCCATTGTGACTGCTCTCGACTACGCGATTTGACAAATGGATGTCAAGACGGTGTTCTTAAACAGCCATCTTGAGGAAAATATCTATATGGTACAACCAGAAGGCTTTGGGTCTAAGGGTCAAGAGAGGAAAGTCTGCAAGTTGCTAAAATTCATTTATGGATTCAAGCAAGCTTCCCGTTCTTGGAACAAAAGATTTGACTAGGTGGTCAAGACTTTTGGATTCCAACAGAATATGGATGAACCTTTCATTTATAAGCATATTCAAGATGAGAAAGTGGTTTTTCTACTATTATATGTTGATGACATTCTACTCATTGGCCATGATGTAGGGGCTTTGTCATCAATCAAAGTTTGGCTTACCAAACAGTTTGACATGAAGGACTTAAGAGAGGCTAATTATGTTCTGGGCATTCGGATCTTAAGAGATCGAAAGAACAAAATGATAGCTCTCTCTTAGGCTTCATACATAGATAAAATTCTTGAGAAGTATGCAATGCAGAATTCCAAGAAAGGTGGGCAACCATCTAGGTCTGGAATTACTCTTTCGAACAGTGATTGTCCTAAGACATTTGAGGAAAGAGAATACATGGCAAAGGTACCCTATGCTTCGGCGGTTGGGAGCCTCATGTATGCAATGCTTTGCACTCGACTGGACATTTACCATGCGGTCGGGATTATAAGTCGATATTAGTCAAATCCAAGACCTAACCACTGGGTAGCGGTCAAGCTTAATTCAAGTATCTTCGGAGGACTAGAAATTATATGCTGATATATTCTGGGGAGGATTTGACACCTCTAGGATATACAGATTCGAATTTTCAATCCTGTTTGGATTCTTAGAAATCGACTTCAGGTTCTGTCTTTACTCTGGGAGGTGGTTCCGTTGTTTGGAGGAGTGTCAAGCAAACTTGCACTTCTAACTCAACGATGGAAGCCGAGTATGTGGCAGCTAGTGATGCTTCAAAAGAAGCAGTGTGGCTCCGTAAATTTCTGATGGATCTTGAAGTAGTTCTTGGTGTGGATAAGCCATTGAAACTGTATTGTGATAACAATACCGCAATAGCTAACACCAAAGAACCAAGATATCAGAAAATGAGTAAGCACATAGAAGAGAAGTATCATGTGATAAGGAGTTTTATTGAAGAAGGGCATGTGGAAATATGCAATATCGCGTCAGAGGATAATATGGCTGACCCATTCACGAAGGCCCTGCCGGCTAAGGCCTTCAAGAAGCATGTCGAGGCTATGGGGATGCGTAGCATGTCACATTTACTCACTAAAGTGCAAGTGAAAGATTGTTAGCGTTTATTGTTGGGAATAGTGTCCTCGAAGCATGAGATGTAATAGGATATTTATTATTTAATTAATAAAAGAGTTTATTCATCATTTTATGTGCATATATTTATGAATATTTTATGAATATCAAATGAAAATTCCGTGATTATTTATGTAACTTTAAACATTGTATATAAGTGTTATATACGAGAGGATAATGTTTAAGGATAATAATAAAAAACGTTGTTCATAATGAATTTAATTAAAGTTTAGAATCTTTAATTAAAACATTATTAATACATGTCATTCCCATTTAGAATGGAACGGTGCTATCCGCACTGTTAATATGGTGAGATATTAAATGAGTGTATTTCGCATAATGAGATTGTGTGGAACAGGGACACAGACACAATATGAATTTTTAATAATTTCCATTAAGCATGGAAATTCTAATTGAGTCTACCGATGGTCATATATAGAATGATCTTAATCCTGAGTTCTTAACAAACTCCTATTTATGGATTTGTGTCTTTTGATTTACTCGGTACGGATTCTGAGATCCTGAATCGTATTCTTTGTATTTTTGAGACATGATGAAGTAGGTAGTTGGGAATGTTATTATACGAGATGGAATCCATTCCTTCTTGAGAAAGAAGTAGATAAATAATTCTCTTGAGTGTTGATTCGGTACTTGGATTAGTAAGAGCGCGCTGGTTCATGAATGTGTTTTATAAATCACTATCCATTAGAGAATCAATGGTACTCAAGGATAAAGATGTAATTAGAGAGGTTAACGGATTCTACCTGACACTAATTATGAATTATTTATGGAGGATTGATCTATATGTAATGACTATATCAAATGGACACTTCGCAGTTTAGAAGTAATTAATAAAAAAAATTCTACCAGACACAAAGGACAAAATGGGAATTTTAGAATTACAGAATTCTAAAATTAAATACTCGAAAAATAATTAATTGAGAATTAATTATTATTTAAATAATGTGATTATTTAAATTTGAATTTGAATCATGAACATAATTTAAATTTATCCTTTTAAACTTATTTGATAAGTTGTTCAATTTAAAATTCAAATTAATTTAAGTTTGACTTAAATTCGAATTTGAATTTGAATTAAAATTGGACTACAGGATAAAGGATGATTTTTTCTTCCTTTCCTATTTGGGATTGGCGCCACACACAGGGTAAAAACCCTAAGGGATGGCCGGCCACAAGTGAGAAGGATAGAGGAGAATTTTTGTTCAAAATTGAAACAGGAGAGAGAGATTTGATTCATTCTAGAAGTTGGACTTCTACTCTATAAATAAGGGATGATGAAAAACTGCGCGAGACGAATTTTTTAACCTAGACTTTGAGGGCTGGCCGAATTCGCTGTTATAGAAAGAAGAGGAAAATTTTTTTTCCCAAAATATTTCACATCGTGCATGCGTTGGTGTTTGTGGAAAATTTGAGTGTTTAATTAAACCCGTTTTTGTCTCACGTGTGCCCACACACACGTCTACGTGGAATCAAGAAATTAATGTGGAAGACTTTGGTTTTCTAAACACAAAGCTTGGAGCAAGGATTGTTCGAGGTCAAAGAATTCAAGTTATCATCCGACATGTTCTTGATTGGCTTTGACATTGATTTAAAATTTTAAAATGCCGATGCGCACTCGATGTCGTATTTTTCCAACAAGTATGTGAGAGAAAATATTGTAGTAAAAAAGTTGCATTTGAATTTTTGTGAGAAAAAATACTGTTGCTAAAAGTTTGAGTTGTGATTTGAGTTAGTTAAAAGAACATGTCCTAAATTTCATGGTGTTATATTCTTACATCAATGTTACATTGAATATATATTATATTATGTTTCTCACTTCTACATGATACTAGAAAGTCTCCCATAATCATATATTTGGCTTTTGGGTTTTGCTTCTGACGCTTGAACATTCCAATCCAAAAGATTGCTACTTTTTTGGTTGCTCATTGATAATCTAGTATAGGATAGTTTTTTCTCGGTGAATTGCATTTTCAGCAATCAGTTTTGGGACTGCAGAGTTACTGATATTATATTATTATGTATCATTTTATTTCTTTTGGGAATGCAGAGTTTGGTTTTGTGGTAATGAGGCATGAGTTTGAGCACTATCCCAAGCATATGATTCGTGATGTGAAGAGGTGGGACCGGTTTCTTGAAGTCGTGAAAGAAAGCAAAGATGAGGAGAAGTTCGAGAAGATAGAGAAGAGGGGTGTGAGCAAAAAGAGGAAAAGAGGTAAAGATAACGAGGATGATGATGATGAAGAGTGGACCGGTGAGAGTGAAGATGACAAAGAGCTTGTGAGAAAAGCAAATAATAGGCCAAAGTATTCTACAAGATCAAAGGACCGTGACAAGCCTCACAAGGATAATTCTCAAGGCAGTAAGAAGTCTTCACAAAAGAAAGTTTATATTGCTGATGATGAGGAGGAGGATGAAATGCTTGGGGGTTTGTTGTTGGTGATGAGGATGTGGGCCATGAGGAAGAAACGAACGGTGACGATGAAGAAGAGGAAGAATTTGTGGATGATGATGATGATGATGAGTGATGGAAAGAATAATATTTGTTGTTTGTTTGTGTATTGTATATTTTTGTTTGTTTTTGTTCCTTCTTCCTCGAGCAGTTGGGTCAAGTCACAGTATTCTGTATAAGTAACTCATCATGTACCAATAACATATGTTCTGTTGCAATTATCAAAAAGAAAAAAAAATGTTCTGTTGCTCTTATCCTTGTTTTGTTCTGAATTTAAAATTCTTTTACTTTGTGAATTATGAAATTTCTTGGCTTAAATATTGTGGAGAAAAGTTACCAGGATTTGTGAATTAGATATAGACTTGCTGTTCCAAAAATTACTTTTGATGTTCAAAATCAGGAGATTCGTTCAATCGATTGTCACTTATTGTTGGAGATTAATCCAATTTATTGTCAATCTGTTGTTATTTTGAGATCAGTGTGAATTAAAAGGAATTAAACTTTTGCGGGGTTAATATACGAGTAAATCATTTCTTAAGCATGGGAAGATTTGTAAAATTCATTTTAAGAGAGCTAGGTATAACCCAGTGGGGGCTTAAGCCCCCACTCAACTATTTTGTTTCCTTAAAAATTTATACATAAATAAGAAGTGTGTTATAATAAACCCCCACTAAAATTTTAAAAAATAATTTTATAGTCCCCATTAATTTTTTAACTTAATTATTAGCCCCCACTGATATAAATTCCTGGCTCCGTCATTGCAAATAAAAGATGCCCTATTAAAAGATTTCAGATAAAAAGGAAGCAGACTTGTCTAAACGAAGGGAAAATCACCTTTTTACCACAAACTTATCACAAGTGCATAATAGAGGTGAACATATGCAAATAAGCACAGTGTACGAGGGTATTCGATACTAAATCTACATGAATAACCACATGCACTAAACACACGTGAATAACTAGTATAAAAGTATTTAACACTAAATTAGACATTTGACTCTAAATCAGACATGAATAATCACGGAGTATAAGAGTATTCGAACTAAATCATATGTGAATAACCACGATAGTTTTTGAATAAAGCCATATAAAAATATAAACATCCCTTCATTTTATTTAACATTTTATTTCAATAATGTTTTAAATTGTATTTAATAAAGACTAAGAAGGGCAATCTTGATATTTTAAAAAATTTGATTGCTTCAAGGAGTGTTTTGGGTCTACTAATTTTATGAACACATAAGATACATTGAGTATTTACATAATTAAAAGGGTGATAGTATTTTGATAAAACACAGGAATGTTTTGAGTATTATAACAAAAAGATAAAATGGTTCTCCCTAACACGTCCTTAATTAGCTTTATCAAGTATCCTAATTCCCATCCAAAAGAGGGAAAGACATATTTACCAATTACTAGTCCCACCCCTTAAAAAATATGTAGATGTAGTTGGTAGTGTCGAAGGAGTTCAATCTAGAAAAGGTGGAAAGGTAAGGATGTGATGCAGCAAGTTGGAGAAAAAATCTCACGATTTTATTGCTAATGTAAGACTAACCAAATTACAACGTGATCAGACCTTTAAATACATATATAGGCTGCAACAAATCCTAACCAAATAACAAATAACAAATCTTAACTATAATAAAGAGAGATAATCTAGAGAATTTAAATAACAAATCCTAACTAAAATAAAGAGATAATCTAGAGATCTTAAAGAACAAATCTTAACCATAACAAAGAGAATCTAGGGAACAAAACAAAATAAAGAGATGATCTAGAGAACTTAAAGAATAAATCTTAACCACAACAAAGAGAATCTAGAGAACAAAACATAACGATAATCCTAACTTTTAAAATTCAAACTAAAAAAATCATAAACTTAGACTCCGTTTGTTTCATTAATTTGAGTTGAGAACTTGAATTGAAAAATGAATTTATGTAAAAGAAAATATTGTAGTATAAAAAATTGAATTTGAATTTTTTGAAAGAAACACTGTAGTAAAAATTTGAGTCCTATCGATGAGGATGTGAGTGCCATATTGACAAAAAGAACAGGGGTTCGATGTAATTTTGTTGAAAAATAATCATTACCAAAGAGAGTGAGAGTTGAGAGAGAGAGAGAAAGCGGGAAATGACAGCTAGGGGTGTTTCTCGTCGGTTTGGGTGGCTTGTTTTTAGAAACTACCAACAAAACTAAAAATAATTTTTTCTTTTGGACAGTTTGGGCGGTTTGATATTTTTAACAAAAACTAAATTGAACCAAATCACTCATAAGCGGTTTTGACGGTTTAAGCTTAAGACTAAATTGTTTTCAATAATTCATAACAATTATAAAATCGTTAATAATAAAAATAAAAATAAGATTAAAGTACAATATAACTTAAAAATAGCAAATGTCTAAGAGTTAACCATTTAAAGTTTTAATACAAACCAACAAAAATATGATAAAATGTATTTCATAACTGTAGAACCTTTATTATGATGAACAAAAATTGAAATAAATTTAAAAAAATATTTTAAAAATTAAAAAATTATATATGTATATTTTTTTAGATGAATTATTGTGTGGTTTGGGGAGTCCAAGCTATAAATTAAACCGCCTAAAAAATTAGTTAAAAATTTGACTAAACCGCTTAATAATTCAAAAATAATTAACCATTTGATTCGTTTCGATTTGGATCAGTTGGTTTTCGCGGTGTGGTGAATTTTTTGAACACCCGATTGACAGCGAAAGGACCAGACAGACACGTAATGCTCAGAATCCGGAACGCCATTTCTATGGTGACTAATGATCTGAGTTTTGCATTAGAAGTCTCCCCTTAGAGAGAGAGAATCCTAAAAAATCTCTGAACAAGAGAGACGTCGAAAATGGCGAACCAGAAGAGCTCTAAGAACGAGAATAGACGAGTGGGACTACTATACGACGAGAGAATGTGTAAGCATTTTCAAAGCGTCGGTATTCGTCATAGGTAATGCATTTTCTGATATGTGTTGCTTGTTTGGGTTCCTCTGATTTACCGTGTGGTAATTATGATGGTGATTTCTTCTATTACGATTTAGGTTGCCTCTCCATCAACCTCCAGCCTTTGCAGGATGGCATCGGCCATACTTGGTGACGATGAATGGCCTTTGTTGGCTGATTGACCTCGCCAGAAGTCCCAATCTAGGGTTTGATGCTTATCCTTGTCCAGGACTTTCTTCCTTAAGTTTGTCATTGATGGTTAAGGTTAGAGAGATCCCATCTTCCAAATACGTCTGGTTCAAGATGGGTTAGATCTAACCGAGGGATTCTTTGGTAGAATGGCCTTACCTTCCTGGAATGTGTTGGATTTTGGTGACTTCTCAAGAGAGAGATAAGCATACCTTCTCTTCTTAGACGTCGGAAGATCTTTGCTCGCGATCTTATATTTTTTCGCATGTGGTGTCTTTGGTGAGATTGGTTTGTCTTTTGACGATCCTCCTGAGTATTCGAAGATTTTGGTCCTCTATTCTGCAAGAGTTCCACATTTGTAGGAGAATGTATTTATTTTGATGTATTTGTATTCCATCCAATTCTATGAATTATTTTCGTTCAAGTTTTACTTTTCTCTTTATATCATGTGCTAGTTTTGCTAAATCATAAGAAATATGACACACTAGATTTATAGTGGTTCGGATCATAAAATAGCCCTACATCCACTGTTTATTTTATTGATATTCCTCTTCTTTTCACTCTACAAGATCTTTGCTGCCTTTTTTATTCTTGTACATTCATATAGTTACATTTATGCGTATACAGATAAAAATTCTTGAGATGTTGAGCATTCCAAGAACTTTTGATCTTCTGATCCAGATCTTTGAATGATTTCAGCTCATAAGATCCTTTTCCATAAACTGCAACAACTTCAAAGGCCCTTCCCATGTTGGATCAACCTTTCCATCATTCGAATCTTTTGTGTTTTCTGTTACTTTTCTCAAAACCAAGTCTCCAACTTTGAATTTCTTTTCTCTGACTTTGTTATTGTAGAATTTTGATGCTTCCTACTAGTAAGCTTGAAGCTTTATAGCTGCTCTTTCTCTTCGTTCTTCAATAAATCTAAACTTTCCTTTAACATTTCCTCATTTTCTAATCTCTGCTACTTCCGATCTTATTGTTGGGAATCCTACTTCAGAAGGAATCACAGCCCCAAGTCCATAAACCATTGCGAACGAAGTTTCATATGTTGATCTTCTTTTCGTAGTTCTGTAAGCCCATAATACATTCGGAAGTTCCGCTGCCCATGCTTCTTTCTTTTCCTTCAACTTTTTCTTTATACATTAAAATATTGTTTTATTCGAAGATTCCGCCTGCCCATTTCCTTGCGGATAAATTCTTGAAGCAAAACTCAACTTAATCCCTTGCTGCTCGCAAAATTTCTTGGTCTTTGCTCCAGTGAATTGTGCTCCACTATTCGCTGTAATTTTATATGGACTTCCGAGTCTACAAATAATATTATTCCAAATGAACTTTATTACATCCACCTGCCTAATTTTGGATTATGCCTCCGCCTCAACCCATTTAGTAAAATAATTTGTCGCCACAAGTGCATAAAGCTTTTGTCCTGGGGCCATTGGTAGTATTCCCACTATATCAATTCCCCAATGCATAAATGGCCAAGCATTTGCCACATAGTGAAGTTTTTTCGACGGAAGATGCGTTTGATGAGCGAAATACTGGCAGTCTTCGCCTTTCTTCACATAATCTTTTGCATTCTGCGCCATTCTTGGCCAAAAGTATCCTTGCGTCATGACTTTATGAAGTAGACTTCTTCCTCATGAATGATTTCCGCACATTCTCTCGTGGATTTGGAAGAGTACTTCTTGCCCTTCCTTAGGTGTTAAACATTTTTTATAAGGAACAGTAAATTATTTTCTATATAATTCTCCGCTTATCATTATAAATCTAGCAGCTCAGATCTTCACTTTCCTGGCCTCTTTTGGATTTTCCAGAAGTTTTTCTTCTTCTAGATATTCCATTATTGGAGTTTTCCAACTTTTCTGATGCTCTATTTGCTGGACTTGTAATGTTCCGGTCGGCTCTTCTTCCTACCAACTCGGCTTTTTAATCTCTAGGATTGACACTACTCGAAAGGCTTGATTTTCTTCTACAAATGCAGCAGCCTTCGCCAGTCCATCTGTAGTCTGATTTTGTTCTCTCGGAACTTGCTCTATACTGAAGTTTTCAAGTTTTTCTATTAACTCCTTTACTTTCTCAAAGTATTTTCTGATATTTTCTGCTTTCACATCATATAATCCTTGGACTTGATTTACCACCGGCTGTGAGTCACTTTTTATCTTGATCTTTTTCATTTGCACCTGCTTCGCTAATCCTAATGCAAGCAATAGAGCCTCGTATTCTGCTACATTATTTGTTGGTTCAAAGTTCAACTTCACAGCATATTCTAGTTTCAAGTCTCCATTTTTCAAAATCATCCCAATTCCTGTCCCAAATTGGTTACTCGAACCATCCACCTTCAAAACCCATTCTGAATCTTCTTCTTCTGGAGTTCCTCTTTCTTCTGAATTATTCTCCAATTGACATGCATTCCGAAATGAAATCCGCCACTACCTGACCTTTCTTAACCATTCTTAGCTTTATTTTGATATCATAAACTCTCAGTTCTACTGCCTATTTTGTCATTCTCCCTGATAAATATGGCTTTGCTAACACAGCTTTCAAAGGTTGATTTGTCAATACTGTAATATGATGTACCTCAAAATAATGTCTCAATTTCCTTTTAGCATTGATTAATGACAGCACAATTTTCTCCATTGTCCCATATCTTCGCTTCGCCTCTGTCATCATCTGACTGACATAAAATACCGATTTTTATTGTCCTTCCTCTTCCCTAAATAATACTCCACCAGTTGCCACATCGGAATTTGATAAATACAGGAACAATTCTTTTCCATCTTGTGGAGCTGATAAAACTAGTGGAGACGTCAAATATTCCTTTGTTTTATTTAAGGCTTCATCTTGTTCTTGTCCCCAATCCACCTCTTTGGCCTTCTTCATTGCTTGCAGGAGTGGTTTGCATTTATCTGAAATTTTCAAGATAAATCTTCCTAATGACACCACATTTCCTACCAACGACTGTACGTCCTTCATTGATTCGGCCGTTTTGTGTCCATTACTTTCTTAATCTGCAATGGGCTTGCTTCAATCCCTCGTCTGCTAACCACATGGCCTAAGAACTGTCCTGAAGAAATTCCGAATGAACACTTTGTTGGACTTAATTTCATCCTTAATTTTCTTAAAATGTCAAACGTGTCCCCCAGATCGTGACCTTCTTTCTTCTTAGTCTTTACCACCATGTTATCGATGTATACTTCTATGGGTTTTCTGATATTTTCTTTGAACATTTTATTCACTAAGCGTTGATAAGTTGCCCTTGTATTCTTTAATTCAAATGACTCAGAATAACCCTTGTTCTGTCACAAAAGCTGTTTTTTCTTGGTCTTCCACATTTATCTTTATTTGATTATAGCCCACATATGCATCTGGGAAAGTCAACCATTCATACTCAGTTGTAGCGTCTGTCTTCTGGTCTATTTTTGATAATGGTCAATGTCCTTTGGGCATGTTTGATTAAGATTAGTGAAATCAATGCACACCCTCCGCTTCTCATTTTTCTTCTGCACCAAAACGACATTCGAAATCCAGTCTGGATATTGGACTTCCCTTATTGATAACTCTATTCACTATTTTTGTGCATTTAAAGTGGCTAGATTTTTAGATTTTTTTATTTGACTTTATTTTATTTTAAATGTAAATGAATTTACTTTTCATTTTAGATTTATTTTAATTTATTTTAGTTTATTTACTTTAGTTTTAGTAATTTTTATTTTAGTTTTCCTTCTAAAATAATTAATGTTTTTATTTGTGTAACAGTGGGACTTAAGTGAAAAGTTTGAAATATAGTGGGGTCAAAAGTACAAAGAAAAAAGAGCCAAATTGAAAAGATAAAGCTTGACATAGGGTCAAAATTTTAGAGAAAATTCAAACCAGGTCATATCCACGCGTCAGCACTCATCAGCTGGCGAGTGAAATTCTCTACTTCGCACTCTACCTATTCTGCGTGTACCCTTGCTCTCACCCTCTCCACTTCTGCCACATGGATCCCACTAGCTCCTTCACCACTCCTAACTCACCACATGTCCAGTTGACATCAAAAACCCTTGAGCCTCTCTCTTGCTTCACTAACGCAGAGGAACATGAGGGATTAATATTCCATCCTTTTGCAGCCGCCAGAGGAAGGGAAGCCATCTTGCTCCCTAAGCTTAGAGCACAGAGCCTGAGAAAATCAAAAGAAAAAAAATAAGGAGACGCGTTAATAAGGGTTTATGCCATTTTTGTGAAAAAAAAGAAAAAAAATAGAGAGCTATATCAGTGCAGAACAGAGACGAAGAAGAAAAGGGGACTAATACTCAGAGAATGATTATTTCAGCTTTCTTCACCCAGTGGAAGCTCGCTTGAAGAAGGAAAAGGATGAGAAAAAGATTGAAACTCCAAATCAGTTGAACTCTTTTTTATTTCTCTGTTGTATTTAATTTCTTTCTGGGTTTACAATTTTATTGAATAATAAATTATACTAAGAATTTAATTTTTACAAATTCAGCCATGAGATAAGTTGTTCTTAGTTAGGATTGTTAATGGAACTAAGGTTGTAAGGATGATGGTTAATTTCTAAGCTGTTTGAGTTTTTATTCATGTTTATCTATGTATGTTTAATGCTTATTTTTATTTTTGATTGGCCATCAACTATAGGATACAAGACTTAGATTAATATTGAAAAGGTTAATTTGAGTTGGATCTAACATAGATGATACAAGTTCAATATGCTCGTTTAAGTTTGTTGATTTGTGAATGGTATATAAATATATTATTCATCTTACATAACTAAATGGAACCAGTGCTGAGATCTATAATCTGAGAACTAGATTCACATAAGAATATGCTGGAAATAGTTTGAAGAATTTAAATCATAATTAATTCAAAAGAATTTTATGCAGCAATTTTATTAAATAATAAATTATACTAAGAATTTAATTTTTACAAATTCAGCCATGAGATAAGTTGTTCTTAGTTAGGATTGTTAATGGAACTAAGGTCGTAAGGATGATGGTTAATTTCTAAGCTGTTTGAGTTTTTATTCATGTTTATCTATGTATGTTTAATGCTTATTTTTATTTTTGACTGGCCATCAACTATAGGATACAAGACTTAGATTAATATTGAAAAGGTTAATTTGAGTTGGATCTAACATAGATGATACAAGTTCAATATGCTCGTTTAAGTTTGTTGATTTGTGAATGGTATATGAATATATTATTTATCTTACATAACTAAATGGAACCAGTGCTGAGATCTGTAATCTGAGAACTAGATTCACATAAGAATATGCTGAAAATAGTTTGAAGAATTTAAATCATAATTAATTCAAAAGAATTTTATGCAAAAATTGAGTTTCAGTTAACTAGAATAAAAATGTTGTAGCATTCATGAAGCATTTTAAAGCCTGACTTACAACTAAG